GCAAATATTATCCCAAGCCATTGGAGCACTCTTCAAACCCTAAAGGGACCTTCTACATAGTTGAGTGATTTTTGTTCTAATTACGTCGGGCAAGTGGAAGATCCTCATCCAAAAGCACACAATGCCTTGGATCACCGAGCGAAGGAGTTCCAATCTTCTGGCATAGGAAAGAGTATGCTCATTCCACCCACTAAGTTGCCTGTCAATTTGCTCAATCATGTCATCAAAGAGCCTAGCCGTGATTTGGTCCGCGGTGAGGGGGACACCGAGGTACCGAAAGGGCATTGAGCCGCACCGTAAGTTGGTGTTGTCAAGGATTGTATCCCGACTATCGTCCTTGACACTGGCCAAGTAAATATTGGACTTTAGCACATTCATCTCAAGCCCCGACTTAGCTCCAAAATCCTTGAGGCAATCCATGAGAATTTGAATTGACGGGGGGTCTCCACGAGATAGAAGCATGAGGTCATTGGCGAAGGTAAGGTGTGAGATTTTTAATAGCTTGCACATCGGATGGTACTTGAAGTTCGTGCTGACCCCCGTGTTACTCTTGATAAGCCGAGACAAGTATTCCATACAAATCACGAAAAGAAAGGGCGATAGGGGGTCACCTTTCCTTAGTCCGCAACCGCCTTTGAAGTGGCCCTTGAGGCTCCCGTTGATAGATACAGAGTAGGACGGAGTGGTGATGCATTCCAATACCCATCTTGTAAAGACCGGGGAAAAACCAAGCCCATCAAGCACTTGTTTCAAGAACGACCATGATATGGAGTCGAAAGCTTTACGAAGGTCTATTTTTATGATACACCTAGGGGAGACCCGTTTCCTCGAGTAGAGTCGAAGTAGTTGTTGCATTAGGTGTAAGTTATCGGTCATGCTCCTCCCTTTCACAAAAGCGGTTTGGGCCTCATCAATGATAGAGTCAAGGACTACGCTAACTCGCCTAGCAAGGACTTTGGAACAAATCTTGTAGACCGTGTTGCAACACGCAATTGGTCGAAAGTCTGTAACTTGTAAGGAGTGGGAGGACTTCGGAAAAAGCGTAAGGGTTGTATAGTTCCATTGCTTGAGGAGTGAGCCGGAGTGGAAGAACTCTTGGATAGCCGCCACCACATCACCCCCAACAATGGACCAACTCTTCAAAAGGAAAGTAGAGGTAAAGCCATCCGGACCCGGGGACTTACCCCCCTCGATGTCACCAAGTGTGTTCTTTATCTCGTCCTCGGTGACCGGGGCAATAAGGGCTCTACAATCATCAACTCTAACACACGGTCCCAAAATCGAAGGATTTCTGGATCAACATCCTCCGTTTCAACTCTGGTACCCAAGAGAGCCTCATAGTAGTGGACAAACTCTTTGGCAACTTCCTCCATGGAGTCGGTGACTGTGTCATCTTCCCGGTTAATCGAGGCAATGAAATTTCTTTTTGTTCGCTTTTTTACCAAGCAATGATAGAACTTGGCGCATTTGTCACCCTTTATTTGAAAGTTGCATTTGGCCTTTGTTGATAAAAGAGCCTCTCCGCTTTCGCCAATTTGAGAGCTTCGAGTCTAAGCGAAGGCATCTTGGCCTTAGTATCGGGGTCATCGGGTTGATCATGGAGCATTTGTTGTGCATTCTTGAGGGCATTCTTCGCTTCTTTAGCCCGGGAGGAGATATGAGAGAAGGCCTCCTCATTAAGAGTCTTAAGCGAGTTCTTGAGGTTCTTCAAATTGTTTGCAAAGAGGAATTGCCTCGAGCCTCCACCACCATGGTTCTACGTGTTTTGGACACACGGCAAAAACTTTTCATGAGTCGTCCACATGTTAAAGAACCGCCACGGTGACCCGGTAGTGTTCCTCGCCTCAAATATAGTAACTATGCATGGGGAGTGGTCCGGACTACCCAGAGATAGAAAGGTCGAGTGCGAGAATAGATCGGCATTCTCCCATTGAGTATCCACCATTGCCCTATCAAGTTTCGACCAAACGTGGTTGTTGGTCCAAGTGTGGAAGAAGCCGCTTGAGGAGATGTCCGACAATCCCAAGTCATCACAAACTTCCAAGAGGTCCGTGGTGTCCCGGTTAGTGACCCACT